GGAGTCTTGTGGATTACTTGAGGATTATTGTGATGTTTTTATCAATTGTTTGAACTCTCATTCCATTAACCTCATTAAACTCATTACATTGACTGCAGAGGATACACTGGTAAGTAAGTAATGTAATGCTACATTTCATCAAATCTCAGTCTCATTTACATCTTGGATGGCCTAAAGGTGAGCAAATTTCATTTATGGGTGAACTATTCCTTTAAGTTTACTGCTATTTAAAATGTTGTGACTGAATATTGTGAAAGAAAATTCCTGGAAACACGCATAGGTATTCCATGGATGTAGGTCAAACAAATCCTGAAAATGAAAGTAAATACACCATACCTGAACGGCCTCCATCAACAGCACTCAAAGCTCCTTCTTGTCTCTCTTGGCTGTCCACCTCGTCTTTCTGTCCACTGTGATTTTGTCTGGTCTTTGGAGGCAGAGGAGGTGCCTTGCCAGCGCTGGTGAGGGAAGAACTTCTCGATTTGCGCCTGGGCTTTATTGCAGGAGGTCTTTGTTGTCTCCATTCTATGCTGGTGCTCTTTGCTGTATCTCCACTTGGAATCTTAGTCTCTGGCTGGCTGAATTTGTTGACTATCTTTTTGACATTCCCAGAGTTCTGTGAGGTTGCACCTTCCACAGATGACGTGTCTGAGGTATTATTGGATTGCTTAATGGGAATTGGGGGTCTTTGTTTAACCTCGGGTTTTGGAGGCAGATGCGGAGACTCTTGAGAAGACATCTTGATTGGTTTTGATGTTTTAACCAAAGCAACCTGGCCAATATGAGGCCAGGCAGCAAGGTCACCGAGGGCCTTCAATCTTCACCCTGCAGTAACAAATAATAAGGACATTAAACATGACTGATGCACCTTAACAAACTCTTTCCATCATTTGATCAATCCCAGAACACCCGACATTGCATTGTTTTCATTAGATATATTACAATTCTGGCTAATACTGCTAAACTGATAATTATTTTCAAGTAATGGACAATAAATGGGCAATGTTAAAGTCACAATTAAAAGGAATTCCATGTTGTGATGAACATCGAGTGTAACAAATTAATCAAACATGAAAAAATTTAGTGTGGTGACTTGGTTGTATGTATCGATTTGTTGATTGCATTTTTGAAAAAAATGCGTCGCACACAAAAGTGGAGGCACATGACTGTGAACTGTGTGAATGTGAAGAGGCAGGACTAAATTATTGGAGTCTTGCATTTTGATTAAACTGAAAACTGAAAAGATTAAACATGCACAGATGAATTATTCAGATCTAAAACATGCATTTAGAAAATAGATCAATTTTCATTTCATGTTCATTTATATTATTTTGTACAATTAAAACACTAAAACCAAAATAAGTCATTTTAAATGCTACAAGTGACATCACAATATTTTAATATACAGTACAGAAATAACTACAGCCAATAACCGATATAGTACCAAGTACCAATATATTGTCCAACCCTAGTTTTCATTCTTTCAGTTTCATATCCCTCATGAAGAGTACTGTAATTGCAACCTCAGTCAGAGACAAAGTCCTCAGAACTACATATACATTTGTCATGACAATTACCTGGTAATTCATTAAATTAAATAAAAGGCACAGTGATCTTTGTACTGGAGTTACCTCAAACCGTACAGGTTCAAACGCATTGGACTTTGCTCTTACATGTCACACTTTTATATAAAATAGGAGCTGGACTTGCAATCAGACTGGTTCTTTAGCGAAACAGCATGCTGGAAACAGTATGAAATATAGCTAGGAATGTGTTTGTATGTCATGTTTGTAAGTGCCATGTACTTTGACCTTTCGGATTCTAAAAGCCTATTCATGTTTTAAGAATGCATGATGAGATTAAAGTAATATGATTAGGTGTTTATATAAAACTGCTTATTGTTTCTCCTTATTTAAAAACAATACCCATGACTTGAATGGAACTGATTGGGAATCTTGGCTTGGAATTATCTGGATATTTTGGAAGGGAAAGGGTGTGTCAACACAACTTCCTTTGTCAACAATTCTACAGCCAGGTTGAACTTTGGCGTCACTGATTTTTTCACTTGACTCGCACCCCTCAGACAGACTCAGCAGGTCTGTCAAGTTCTCTAATGTGCTGCTGTGATCTATTTTGATATCCTGAACATACAAAGCTCAACATTAAAGAATGCCAGAGAGAAATGCTTTCCCATGGGGTGAAACAGGATGGCTGAAAAGGTTACCATTAGAAGGGCGTTAATGTTTCGTCATTTTTACATCCTTCTGATATTTCAAACTTCAATAATGTATAAACATCCCCTAAAGCAACAGGACACCCAAGTATCCCCTGCTAGGCGTTTTTTTTTTCCAGAAATGTGTACAAGACACTTCCCCTCCCACCTATAAACATCTTGGGAATGGAATCCTCCTTTCCTGTTGTGAACCTTGGCTTTGCTTTCAAATTCCTGAGAATCACTGGGATATATATATATATATATATATATATATGGCAAAAACCACAGAAATATATTTCTTTTTACATTTTAATTATATATATATATATAAATATATATATATATATAAATATATATATATATAAACTGTATTTTTTATGTAAAAATGCAGAAACGTTTCTGCTAGACTTAGATTATAGTATTCATAACTACCTGTAAATAAAAACAATAAATGTCCATAAAGTCCCCTTTTAGATCGATAGAAGTAAGTGTGCAGAAAGTTTTCTGTGAAAGGTAGGTTTAGGTGTAGGGCGATAGAATATATAGTTTGTATATTATAAAAACCATGACGCCTATGGAGAGTCCCCACAAGGATAGTAAACTAAACTGTTTTTTTTGGTATTTGAGATATTGTAGTCAATTAGATTACAAATTTCTTTGTGTTGTCGGACCTAACATTTAATTTCTTACATAATCATTTCTAACAATGTTTCAGAAACAAAGGACCAATGAAAAATTTAATCCAAAAGTCAATATTCCTAAGGATCTGCTGTGTGAACTGAATGTGGTAATGCAACATGATGTAACCAATGAATCTGTCATTAATTTGGTATTATTTTGTTTGTCTGACAAAGTAACACTAGGTAAGATGCAGTAAATATACTACATTCACAACTGAAGCTGCTAAAAGTCATATCTGTTATATTACACCAGACTACTCACCAAATGTGTCTCACTCTCCTATATAATCCATAAAGAAATCGAATTCCTGAAACGTGTCCAGAGAAAACTTCCTCATAAAAACAAAAACAGAGTGGCGTGGTGTATAACACTCAAAGTGCACATGAACACATCAGTGTACGAACAGTTATACAGTCACCCATATTAGGCTAATACATTTCTTTAAAATGACAGCAACAGATCGCCACATTCCAGAGCGAACTTCATATCCGTACGGATCTGATCAGACGTTACTTTCGTATTTCCTCTTTTGTTGTCCTCTCCGGTAAATCCACGCGCATCTCCGGCTCTTTGTTTTCCTGCTCGTGAGCGTGTATGTAAGAACAGCCGGACAGGGACAGTGTGATTAGTGGATACCCCTCCTCCCATCCCACCCTACCCTACCCTACCCTTTCCCATTTTTGCCCGTGCACACACCCTCCTTTGGCTGCCACACAGCGGAGACGTGTGTGTGTGTATGTTTGTTTGTTTGTTTGTGTGTGTGTGTATCAGGTTTATGGGAATCAAGCTCAGTAAAACCTGAAATCATCTAGTTACGAAATGGTAATTTATTTATTATAAGAAAAACGGTTTAATAAACATACAAAATAACATAGAATATATGAAATACTGGTGAGAACATAATTGCTGAAAAATATCGTTCATAAAGAGACAATCTCTTTAGTGCTTTAAAAAATCACAAAGTTGTATTTTGTCTTTTTGAGTTCTAATTAATATAGTTCTAATATAGTTCGTGTATAGTTCTAATTAATAACTTCTTGAACATTCTTAAAATTCTCTACATTTATATTGTTTTCTTCCACAATCGAATCACAAATTGTATTGATTGCTTTTTCTGAACGAGATGAATGAGGGGATAAAAAAGCAAATTTTTCACTAAGGATATAAGATTTACTTTTAGTCTTTCCAAATTTTACAACAGAGAAATAATTTTTTTCACTCATTCCAATGTGATAAACCAGAAAACTATGGAAGCCCGTTTCTATGGAAGCCCGTTTCCGCCACTGAATAAAAAGTAAAAGAGGTAATTGCGACTTTTTATCTCACAATTCTGACTTTTTTTTCTCAGAATTGCGTGATATAAACTCGCAATTGCGAGTTAAAAAGTCATAATTGAGAGATATAAACTCGCAATTCTGAGAAATAAAGTCAGAACTGCGAGGTATAAACTCACAATTCTGAGAACATATCAGTCTTTTTTCCCCCTCAAAATTGGACTTTAACTCGCAATTGCGAGTTTATATCTCGCAATTCTGAGAAAAAAAAAGTCAGAATTGCGAGATATAAACTCGCAATTGCGAGAAAAAGTCAGAATTGCGAGTTTTTATCTCGCAATTGTGAGTTTATATCACGCAATTCTGAGAAAAAAAGTCAGAATTCTGACTTTATATCTCGCAATTGTGACTTTATAGCTCGCAATTGCGAGTTTATATCTCACAATTCTGTGAAAAAAAGTCCGAATTGTGAGATAAAAAGTTGCAATTACCTTTTTTTTGTTTTATTCAGTGGCGGAAACGGGCTTCCATAGAAACGGGCTTCCATGCTATATGGAAAGAGACAAATACATCTAAAGTAAATTGTCGTTACTTTGTCGGTTTGCCCAGTATCCAATACAATCCAACAGCATTTGTACACCTACCAATATTTTACGATTCAAGAATAGTTTTTAATAAAATAATGATCTGTTTCCCTGAATTTAACATTGATTACAACATAAAAACAATTAACAAATAAATAAACAAACACAAAACTCATAAAACATAAAAAGAATATATCTGAATCATTAAAGATAACTAATGAATCAAAGATTCGATTCAATTGGAGAGTCGATTCTCAGCAGCAGTGTTTACTGTCAGCGGCTAGGCTTTTCCGTCTGATAAGGTGATCAGTTGCTTTTGTTTCCGTAGACGTGCTTCTTATCGCACCGTTTTGTTGACTGAATGAACATAACGCGTTTTCTGCAATCAGATTAACGTTTTCGTATTTAAAGCAGAGAAAGACAGTAGCTCTGTAGCTAACGAGCTGTTAACGTTACATGTAAGTTAGCAGATTAGCTGGCCAGCTAAACTCGGATATCCTGAATATATATTCTGCAGGTTAGAACATTTACTACTAAGACTGTCACCACGATACAGAATGCACTCTCCCTCACTTTGCTAATCGAGGTTTTAACAGCTGTTTTAACTGCCAATTGCGCTGTTATATGTCAGGCAGTGTTGTTAGCCTGCCCCAGTATTTGTTTACGCAGAACTGCTGCTCTGCACTGAGCTTACAGATGATATGGATCCTGATAGTGCATGATATATGCATTTTATATAGTATGCAAATAGACTGGAGAGCGCGATAATTGCTTATATTGTTGTTTGTTTTGATACTGAACATGCAGGTTGTGTAAAAATATATTTGCAAGTGGCATGCATAGGTCCCTCAAGACCTAAACGCTGAGAAAACCTTTGTATACAAGGCATTTTTCCCTACAAACTTATTATCACCGCAAAAGCAAACAAAGTAACACTCGGCAAATTAGATCCTCATAATATTAGAAAATAATGGCAAGCCTATTAGCCCATATCTTTTTTATTACATGTATTATTCTACTACATGGGCAATTTGCTCTCTCAATGAGTGTTAAGATGAATATGTGTAAAATGTTTCAATCCCATGTGTAAATACAATACGTGTGTATATTTTTGCCATCACTACAGTAAGCACAAACACCCACACGCCAATTAGATACCTAGTCACCTGAGAGGGAAGTGGAGGCTATCCTTAGCACCACATCTAGCTATTGCCTCCCACAGGACAGACCACTGTGACTCAGACCCCCTCCTCGGTCAACCTCAGAGGGCCTTGCCACAAGATGCTGTTTTTTATGTGTATGTAATCACAAGGCTGGTTACAATCTCTCTTTGCTAACCTCACCCACACAGGGCTGAACAAACAGACTGACACTGAAGAGCTCTCAGTAGCATCCACCTGGACGGACTTTCTGGTTTTTGACCCTTTGCAGGTGGGTAAAAATTTCTGGCTTTGGCATGATTGTGTTATTAAGGCATATTTGAAAAATGAGAATGTTGCATGCACTTACAGAATTTAATACAGCTTGTTTTTAATGCATGTGCGCAGTGTATGAGCTGCAGTGAAATTTTCTGAAAACTGTTTACAGAAAATGTGACTTTCAGTGTAAGAATATATATATATATATATATATATATAATCATTTTCATCGTCACATCTTTCTTCTGTACAGTTCCACTAGTTTAGACCAGATGTTTTCAATCTGGGGTTCGGGGACCTCCAGGGAGCTGCAAAGTGCTAGGGGTCCATGGAAAAGTTTAGAGAAAAATTATTAGTAAAAATTAGATTAAAATGAAAAATGAGTTTAAATAAATACAATTTTTTTTAATTAAAATAAGTTTGATTAAATGAATAAAAAACATTAGATTAAAATATTTAAATAACTAAATAAATATAGCATTTATATCTACTATAAGGAATTAAAATTATGTAATAAAGGGACTTACCTAATTGCTTTTTAAACAATATTTTATACATATTTATAATATTATTCTTTCACTGTATAAATTGGGTCTTTATACAAGAATGTCTTTGAAATTTTAGGATAGGGTCCCTCAGACGAGGATGATCATTTTGGGGGTCCGTGGTATCTAAAAGATTGACAGCTTTAAACAATTATCATTTTAAACAACGATCAATAATTGTTACATTAGTCAAGCTCACACAAGGCTTTTCGTCAGATTTCACAGCTGCAGCATCTTTAATTGGAGAGCTCAGGTGGAGAGAGATGCTGTTGGGCTCAGGGAGATGCCAGTGTGTGCCGAGGCCCTGCTGGGCTGCTGAAACCGCTGAGAATAGAACTCCGCATGCACTTTATCACTCAAATGAAAGTAGTCCATTACTGCTATGCTCTTTTAGTTAGTTTTATTGAAGGATGTGTGTTTGGCCTAGATATTCTCTGCTATTATATTTTTGTTTTTGTGTTTTTTCTCTCCACATGTCCCTCCTCTTTATCCTGGTCTCTGCAGGATAGCGGATCAGGTCTTGAAACATGAGCTCTGTGGCAGTGTTGACTCAGGAGAGTTTTGCAGAGCACCGCAGTGGCTTGAAGGACGTTGAGATCACAGGTATAACGACTGGAAGAATTAGGGGTGAAAATATTCTTCTACAAAAAATACATATGATTCACCAACATTTAGGTTTTTATTTTTTGTGTGTGTGTGTAATGGCAGGAATAGATAACGGATGTAACAATGAATTAAAAGAACAAGTCAAAGATGCTAATACAAATATTAGTATACTTAAGTAGCGGCAAAGATAATATAAACTAATGATTTGATACTGGAACAGTTTTAAAGCTAGTATTAGGCACATCTGTTTTTGAACACATCCCTGATGTGTGATGCTGAACTCTCATGCTGTTTACTAGTTGTCAGTGTGTCACAATGATCTTTGACAGTGACAGCAGAGCTGTTCTTATCTGAATCACACTGTGTGAAGCATTCGGCTGCAGCATGTCATCATGCACAATTATGGTAAATAGTGTCTCTTTGAAAAATACAAATTGCGAATTATAATATAATATAATAATTATTTCCATTTATAATTATCAATCTCAAAGTAATCTAATTGATGTACCACTATTGGTTAAGTATTTACTAAACTGAACAACTAAGATGTACAAAAAGAAAAAACATGTCAGTATTTTCAATAATTGTTTATGCAGTTGGTATTTCTTCTGTTCTTCATTCTTGATGACCCTGGTTGATTGTATTTATATAGCATCATACTGTTATATTATCAAAATAATTCAAAGAAAAGTTGTTTTGTACATTTTACTATTTCCTTTTCGTATTGTCTGTGATTAGGTCGTGTACCAGAAGACGAAGCATATATACCCACCTATCTGGAAGCCTTTCCACCTTTGCCAGACAAGGGCACTCCAGGTGAGAAGACCGGTGAGCCGGCAGGTGCTTGGAGCAAAATCCGACCCATCAAAGCCTCTGTTATCACTCAGGTAACATATATAATCCTCTATAGAAGGTTTGTGCAGTCTGAGTAAGCTGCTCGTCAAGCCACCATATATTTTCATTGTTATTGCGGGCCTGTCACACTTTTTCTTCTTCTTCACCCTGTGCACCTTCAGGTGTTCCATGTCCCTTTGGAGGAGCGGCGGTATAAAGACAACAGTCAGTTTGGTGAGGGTGAGGAGGCAAAAGTGTGCCTGGATATCATGCAAAAGACCGGGGCACATATCGAACTCTCTCTTGCCAAGGACCAAGGCCTCTCCATCATGGTGACTGGAAAACTGGATTCGGTCATGAAAGCGAGGAAGGAGATTGTGGCCCAACTGCAGACTCAGGTGCTTGTTTGAGTCTTGCATTTCTTATTCAATTAATTTTTCTCGGTGTTAAAAGTTGTATTTTAATGCTGAACTTCTCAGGCTTCAGCAACTGTGCTTATTCCGAAAGAACATCATCGGTTTGTGATCGGAAAGAACGGGGAGAAGTTGCAGGAGCTGGAGCTGAAAACAGCCACCAAGATCGCCATCCCCCGATCTGACGATCCCAACGCCAACATCCGCATCACCGGCACCAAGGACGGCATAGAGAAAGCTCGCCATGAAATCCAGCTCATCTCCGCTGAGCAGGTAATCATTAAAGCTAGATGAGATGAGGCTTTGTGTTTCATTTCTAATTCAGCCTCATTATGACCTCACTGTTTGCTTTAGGATAAGCGTGCCGTGGAACGTTTGTCTTTTGAGAAGGCTTTTCATCCATTCATCGCTGGTGCATATAATCAACTCGTTCAAGAAGTTAGTCAGGAGACCGGAGCTCGTATTAGCATCCCGCCACCCAGCGTACCCAAAGATGAGATTGTCATTACCGGCGAGAAGGAGGCAGTTGCCACGGCGATTGCCCGCATCCGGGCCATCTATGAAGACAAGGTGAGAATTGTTCAAAAGTTTGGAGTCTGTACGTTTTTTTTTTTTTTTTTTTAAGAAATGAATGCCCTTATTCAGCAAGGACACATTAAATTGATCATAAGTGACAACAAAGACATTTAAAAAATGCTGTTCTTTTGAACTTTCAATTCATTAAAGAATCCTGTTAAATACAACAAAATTGTATCACAGTTTCCACAAAAATATTAAGCAACACAATATAGGAAACAGTTATTTCACAATATTACAGTATTTTTGATCAAATAAAGGCAGTCTCTGTATTTCAAAAAAATGCATCTCGTGACATTTCCTGACCTTCTTAATTTGCACAAGCAGAAACGAAAAACAACCACAATCTCAGTGGAGGTGAAGAAGTCACAACATAAGTACATAGTAGGCCCCAAAGGCAACACCCTGCAGGAAATCCTGGAGAACACGGGGGTGTCTGTGGAGATGCCCCCTCTGGACTCCGCATCCGAGACCATCATCCTCAGAGGAGAACCGGACAAGCTGGGTCCGGCTCTCACGCAGGTGTACGCCAAGGTCAATTGTATTGGCATTGTTTGGCCTTATTTTGAACAGAATGCATGCAAAAGGCAGCTGTTCACAAGGCACTTGTGTGTTTTGCAGGCTAAAAGTGTGATAGTGGTGGAGGTGATTGCTCCGGCTTGGCTCCATCGTTTCATCATTGGCAAGAAAGGACAAAACATCAGTCGCATTACTCAGCAGCTGCCTAAGGTATAGAAAATTGAGATGAGAAGTCTGTTATGAGATATCCAATTTGAAATATAGCAAGTCAAATGTTTTTTGTAACTGAGAATAGAGTGCTGGATTTTTACATTGCCATTTGGATTATTTCAGAAAATAAGCTCTGTGACCAACAAAAGTTTATGATTCCTAAATGTTGTGTTTGTCAAGATTATCTTCACAAACGTATTAATTTTAAAGCCTAAATACAATCACCAGAAGTACGAAGCTAAAGTACAGGCTATAAACGTACTACAGTTCAATGTCATCACCACTAAGCTTCTGTCAACCCTTTCAAACTTTATTTAAAATCTTCAAGTTTAAAGGGGTGGTTCATTGCGATTTCACTTTTTTAACGTTAGTTAGTGTGTAATGTTGCTGTTTGAGCATAAACAATATCTGCAAAGTTACGAAGCTGAAAGTTCAATGCAAACGGAGATAATCATCTTTTTTTTTTTTTTTTTTTTGATTCTTTATTTATTAAACATTTTGGATTTATAACTTTTTACAGCAGAGCCCGAGATCTGCCCATATACATAAAAAAAAATAAAAATAAAAAAACAACAACAAGCGGGTTACAATACAATGTTACAAAACAATATTAGCGGGATAACAAGTACATCTTAGGATTTCAATAGGCCTGATAAATTATCAATAAGGTCCAACCAAAATTGTATTGTCTTTCTGGTGGCACCATGTGTTTTGGCTGTGGTACACTCCAAAAGGGCAATGTCCAGCAAATATGACATCCACGTCAATCTAACTGGGGTAGATGGATCCAACCACAATTTTAAAATAACCTTTTTGGCAGCAGTAAGAGCAGCAAACAGAATCCTTTTTTAATTGACAGACAATGAAAGGAACGAATCATCCAGCAAAAGAAAGAGATATCGTCTTTTAAAATTCTGGCGGTTTAATGCCTTCAAAAACGGCTGGTAGGGACTACAACAAGTTACTTCCCGGGTTCGTGACATCACAAACCCAGATAAACCCCACCCTCGGGAAAAGGCAGCATAGGGGGCGAGGCCATGCTGCGCTGCTTTAGAGAAGAGGAAGACTAGGGGTGCATGTAAAAATCTATTCATATATGAATCGCGATTCTGTCTTCTAACGATTCTAATGGATTCACAAGTTTCAAAATCAATGTTCTAAAGCAGCGGTTCTTAATACTGTTCCTCGCATCCACCTGCTCTGCACATGCTCTGCATCTCTCTCTCTCCCTTTCTCATTCAGCTCAGCTCCAACAATGAACTGTTCCATTTATACACTTATTTTCACATAGCTATGAGAAGCGTTATACATGGACGCGAGTGCAGTTGCCGTACTGTATTAAAGCTTTAATAAGGATAAAAACGTATATTAAAGGGGTCATATGATGTTGCTAAAAAGAACATTATTTTGTGTATTTGGTGTAATGAAATGTGTTTATGCGGTTTATGGTTAAAAAAACACATTATTTTCCACATACTGTACATTATTGTTTCTCCTCTATGCCCCGCCTTTCTGAAACGCGTCGATTTTTACAAAGCTCATCGGTCTGAAAAGCTAGGTGTGCTCTGATTGTGTGATGTTCTGCAAAACAACAAGCTTTAAAACACTTTTTTCTTACTGGTGAAAATCAGATGGTCAAATCTGTTTTCTCTCAGGTACATCCAGTGTAAGCTTCACAGTGAGCATTACTACATCACTCTCGTCAATGTAGTCCATATCAACAACAAAAATATATCTATATATAAATATAACCGCACTAGCGGCGGTTTAGCCAATCACAGCACACTGGGCCAGCTAACCAATCAGAGCCCATCGCCTATTTCTGAGGGCGGGGCTTCATTAAAACAGGAAAAGATCAGCCCGTTTCTCAGAGAAGGGACAGAGCGGTGTGGAATAAAGGTAAATTATGTAAAAAATAATGCGTTTTTTAAAAAACGAGGCATTAACACATGTTAGACTGCACCCCATAAACACAATCAAGCCTAGAAAAAAAAACAGTGAACCACCCCTTTAAAAGTTTGAGTTAGAATAGTTTTCAAGAGTGCAAGTATAAACACAACGCGACTGTAAAAGCAGACTAGTGAGTAGATGAGTTTACCTGTATAGTGTGATATTTTTTGATGTCTCAGTCAATCTCTATAGTCCTATTAAGCCTTGTTAGCAACCGCCTTTTTCAAGATGCATAAAAAAATTCATGAGTGGGGTATTACTGATATGTTTTATTTCATTGAATAAAATGTGAAAATAACTTTAGCTGGCTGTTTGTCATCATTAGGTGCATATAGAGTTTACTGATGGAGAGGAATGTATCAGTCTGGAGGGACCGACGGAGGAGGTAGAACAAGCCCAGGCTCAGCTACAGGAGATTATAAAAGACCTGGTAAGAGAACCCTCAGATCTCTTACTGTCAGGCTTTTTGCTGTTGTTGTTAAAATTAGTATAGAACGGAATAAAAAAATGGGAAATTTGGTTGCTAAAAATGGTTGCTTCATATTTTATAACTGTAAGATTTCAGTTATTGTTTGTTCTTCAGGTTTCTGCATTTGTGGAATATAAACCGTTTAGGTACAGTCCTTAAATATTTTATTTTTCTCCCTCCAGATGGCAAGAATGGACTATGCAGAGATTAACATTGACCACCGTTTCCACAGACATCTCATTGGCAAAAACGGGGCCAACAGTAGGTTTAAACCCTTTCTGGAGTGCTGAGTCTGAAACTTTAGTCATGTTTGGGATGTCTGGATAGAAACAGAGCTCATAGCACAGATAGAAGAGTAATGTTTGAATAGTCAAATTGTGGTTTTACACATTATTTGATTACAAGCAGCACACAATGTCAATATGCAACATTTGCAAATGTACTTATCCATCTCTATTTAAATATCATATTTCATGTATTGCCATTGCCACAGAACCTGGGAAAAATTAATGACTGTGTTGCACACTTAATCTGATTATGAGACCTTTGAGTTATCTATAATATATTTGTTACAGTAAAGTTCATTTGTTCAATGAACAGAGCAGATAAATGAATTATTTGGTGCTTTTCCCAGTAAATCGGATAAAGGAGCAGTATAAGGTATCAGTGCGGATTCCTCAGGATTCGGAGCACTGTGGGCTGGTTCGTATTGAGGGTGATCCTCAGGGAGTACAGCTCGCTCGCAAGGAACTGATGGACATGGCCCAACGTATGGTGAGACGCACTATATGGAAAGCACAAGAGCACTCTATGACATTATGAAGCTATCTGAAACATTTGTTTGCATGGTTTAAGATGTCATTTTCTGGTGTCTTTGATACTTTAGGAAAATGAACGCACGAAAGACCTTATAATAGAGCATAAGTTTCACCGCACCATCATTGGGCAGAAAGGAGAGAAGATCAAAGAAGTACGGGACAAGTTCCCTGAGGTGCTCACGGCTTCATTTTGTACAACACACCAATATCTATATTCTGCTATATTCTAAATTTTTTATCACATTATATGATGGTTTTATTTCCACAGGTCATTATCATCTTTCCAGACCAGCAACAGAAAAGTGACATAGTACAGCTCAGAGGGCCTAAAAACGAAGTGGAGAAATGTGCGAAGTTTCTGCAGAAACTCATCGCTGAGCTGGTACAAGAATAATTTTCTCTTGCTTCCTTCCTGCTCTCAAATTACATTTGCTTCGTGACTAATACAAGGTCACAAAAAGAGCAGCTATTATGTGGTCAGACAGCTATGAAATTATCATACCCAGCCTACAGATGACAACTTCCTCCAATGCTATTGTAGTTAAGGCACTTTTTGTTTTAAAGTAAAATCATCTGTTGTACAGCTGAGAAGTTAACTCTTTGAAAGGCATTGAGCTTTAGTGTTTTTTTAATATTATATTTTTAATTATCGTTATGTTCATGTTATTAGGTTGAGAGCAGCTTCTCAATTTCTGTACCCATCCACAAGCAGTTCCACAAAAACATCATTGGCAAAGGAGGTGCCAACATCAAAAAGGTGAGGACACAAAGGCAGCTATTTTTATTTTTATTTTTTTAGATTTGTAAAGATGACTTGTTCATCCTTTAAAGAGGTAGTTCACCCAAAACTGAATGTTATTTAGTTTTAATTGTAGTAATTTTCAAATTAAACTTCAATTTTTAATTTCAAATTTTAATTAGTTGTTGTTTAAAAATATTTAAGGTAATTAACGCAGCATCCATTTTTTTTCCTGGTATGCTTTGGGTAGGGTTATTGTAGACGATATGAACACACTATAAAGCACGATAAGAAGCAAAAGACACAAAAGTGAATTCGGTACTGGCATGCTGTCTGTGAAGCAGCTCTTTGTGAACACAGGCAGCCGCTCATTAACACGGTCTTAAATGAGTTAAAAAGTCCTAAATGACCATAAAGAACTGGAAGAAGATCGGATGTGTGTCAGATCCACGTCATGTGCATTAGTTTTTAAAGAGACAGCACTGCTTTCAAAGCTTTCAAAGCCAAACCTGCTGCAGTCTATGTCATTGATGTAAATCAAAGAACAAAAGAAAAAGAGAAATCACTCACTGCTTTGCTCGCTGATTAACTTTTGTAGCTTGAATAACGATTAATTTTATATTCAACTTATAGTTTTTGCATATACAGTTTATAGTTTATATGAAGATTGTTTTAAGTTTACTTAAAAAAAGGTCATATTTTTTCAAAGCCTATTAAATGTTAAAAATAATGGCTTTTAATTATACTGTAATGTTGAATGGCTATAATTAATGGCTAAAATTGAGGTAAAAATACATTTAGTAGAGACATCAGTAGCAGCATTGGTGGCAATGATACTGGCCTTCATTAATGATTGGCTACTTAAAAAAACAATGCCATTAAACACATATTTAAAATATACCGTCTTTATGTTGCTTCTACATTAATTTGGAGATTCAATATGCATTTATGAAGATATAAATATATTATATTAATATGCAAATAATCACAATTAATTACAGGAAAGTTGACAGCACTAATTTATACATTATTTTAGTTCAGCTTTATTGCAAATACCGAAAATTTTGAATTTAGTTAACAATAAAACACTAGTTCATAGTGAGAAAAAAGGACCATAAAAGAACTGAAAGCATTGGTGGCGGAGTATCGTGGTTTAGCCAGCATCTGAAATAATAATTACAATTTGCATTTTTAAACATTGTGCTAATTTTTGTTTTTAATGAGAGAAATTTTTGTTGCTGTGTAAATCTGTATAGATACGTGAGGAGACCAACACCAAGATTGATCTCCCAACGGAGAACAGCAACTCGGAGATGATTGTAATAACTGGCAAGAAGAGCAGCTGTGAAGCCGCACGAGATCGGATCCTCGCCATTCAGAATGAGCTGGTGAGAGAAACAGGAAGCTAGGGAATGTATTATGGGTGTAATTCTCAATGCTCTTCGTTTTTCTTCTCTCACACATTCTCGCTTGATTTTTCAACTCTCCCAGGCCAACCTGAAGGAGGCTGAGGTTTCCATCCCAGCCAAGCTGCACAACTCTCTGATTGGATCCAAGGGCAGTCTGGTGCGCTCTGTGATGGAAGAGTGTGGGGGTGTTCACATCCACTTCCCTGCGGAGGGCTCAGGGTTGGACAAGGTCACCATCCGAGGTCCTGCAGAGGAGGTGGAGAGAGCCAGGAGACAACTGCTGCAGTTGGCGGAGGAGAAGGTGAGTAATGAGATGAAGATCTAAAGCAGAAAAGCAAAAAGGACATTTTTTGAGTCATTTAGTCTATGCGAGACATTTGTTTTTTGTCCCACCAGCAAGTCAACAACTTCTCAGTGGAGCTTCAAGCCAAGCCAGAGTACCATAAGTTCCTGATAGGCAAAGGAGGAGCTAATATCCGACGGGTACGGGATCGAACCGGAGCACGAATCATCTTCCCATCACCAGATGAGCCAGAACAGGAGCACATTACCATCATGGGTAAAGAGGAGGCTGTATGGCTTGCCCAGAAAGAGCTGGAGACCCTCATTCAAAATCTGGTATGACAGAAGAAAACGTAAAGCATTTGAGTTAGTGTTTCTTTAAACACGCCTCCTCATCTGTCCTTTCTTTTCAGGATGACGTGATAGAGGACAGTATGGTTGTGGACCCCCGGCATCACCGTCACTTCGTCTGTCGGAGAGGGCAGGTGTTGAGAGAGTTGGCGGAGGAGTATGGCGGTGTAGCTGTTAGCTTCCCTCGCACGGGCACACAGAGTGACAATATCACTCTCAAAGGACCCAGAGAGTGTGTTGACGCTGCTAAGAAACGCATTCAGGAGATTGTTCAAGATCTTGTGAGTTTCATATCCAGTCCATGTATACATATTGCATGTAAATGCAGTGACTTTTCCGCCATGAACAGTATATACAATACCGTTCGGCAGTTTGGGGTTACTCTGTTTTTTTTAATCAATTAAATTAGTAATTAATTGATCAAAAGTGACAGTACTGTACACTTACAAAAAATATATTCCAAATAACTTCTGTTCTTTTGAACTTTCTATTCATCAAAGATTTCTGAAAAAAATATGTATCATGGTTTCCACAAAAATATTAGAAAGCATATTAGAATAATTTCTGATTGTCATTATCTGCTAATGTGTCATCAGGAGTCACAGGTGAATGTGGAGGTGTTGATTCCTCAGCGGTACCACAGAGCCGTCATGGGACCCAAAGGCTGCAAAATACAACAAATTACACGGGAACATGAAGTTCTGATCAAATTTCCAGACAGAGATGAGTGTGCAGGTCTCTTCCTTACACTCTCAAATTAGTTCAGATATTTTTTTGTTCTATTTATTGATGACAAGAATATTTACGAACTGAGTTGTTTGCTGTATTTGTGGCTTGCAGCTCAGGAACCTGCATCTCCAGAGAACGGGGATACGGATCTCATTCCTCGGAAGTGCGATATCATCATTGTGACGGGACAGGCCGAAAAGTGCGAGTTGGCTCGTGCAGCTTTACTTGTAAGGAATTCTGGAAATTATCTTTTGACTTAGGGTGGATTGGTTTTCATTCTCTTTATCCCATTTTTTCCTTCCCTTTTGCATTCTAGGCCTTAGTTCCTGTGACGATTGATGTTGAGGTTTCCTATGACCTTCATCGTTACATCATAGGACAGAAAGGAGCTGGAATAAGGAAAATGATGGAGGACTATGAGGTAGAGACATATTGAATTGTGTTTGTACTACCGTTCAAAAGTTTGGGGTCAATAAGATGTGACCCCAAGAATGTGTTTTTGAAAAGTCTCTTATGCTCACCAAGGCTGCATTTATTTGATCAAATATTTTTTTTACAATTTAAAATAACTGTTTTCTATTTCAATATATATTAAAATATAATTTATTCCTGTAATTTTCAGCAACTATTACTTCAGTCTTCAGAGCTGTTAGCTTCCCTCGCACGGGCACACAGAGTGACAATATCACTCTCAAAGGACCCAGAGAGTGTGTTGACGCTGCTAAGAAACGCATTCAGGAGATTGTTCAAGATCTTGTGAGTTTCATATCCAGTCCATGTATACATATTGCATGTAAATGCAGTGACTTTTCCGCCATGAACAGTATATACAATACCGTTCGGCAGTTTGGGGTTACTCTGTTTTTTTTAATCAATTAAATTAGTAATTAATTGATCAAAAGTGACAGTACTGTACACTTACAAAAAATATATTCCAAATAACTTCTGTTCTTTTGAACTTTCTATTCATCAAAGATTTCTGAAAAAAATATGTATCATGGTTTCCACAAAAATATTAGAAAGCATATTAGAATAATTTCTGATTGTCATTATCTGCTAATGTGTCATCAGGAGTCACAGGTGAATGTGGAGGTGTTGATTCCTCAGCGGTACCACAGAGCCGTCATGGGACCCAAAGGCTGCAAAATACAACAAATTACACGGGAACATGAAGTTCTGATCAAATTTCCAGACAGAGATGAGTGTGCAGGTCTCTTCCTTACACTCTCAAATTAGTTCAGATATTTTTTTGTTCTATTTATTGATGACAAGAATATTTACGAACTGAGTTGTTTGCTGTATTTGTGGCTTGCAGCTCAGGAACCTGCATCTCCAGAGAACGGGGATACGGATCTCATTCCTCGGAAGTGCGATATCATCATTGTGACGGGACAGGCCGAAAAGTGCGAGTTGGCTCGTGCAGCTTTACTTGTAAGGAATTCTGGAAATTATCTTTTGACTTAGGGTGGATTGGTTTTCATTCTCTTTATCCCATTTTTTCCTTCCCTTTTGCATTCTAGGCCTTAGTTCCTGTGACGATTGATGTTGAGGTTTCCTATGACCTTCATCGTTACATCATAGGACAGAAAGGAGCTGGAATAAGGAAAATGATGGAGGACTATGAGGTAGAGACATATTGAATTGTGTTTGTACTACCGTTCAAAAGTTTGGGGTCAATAAGATGTGACCCCAAGAATGTGTTTTTGAAAAGTCTCTTATGCTCACCAAGGCTGCATTTATTTGATCAAATATTTTTTTTACAATTTAAAATAACTGTTTTCTATTTCAATATATATTAAAATATAATTTATTCCTGTAATTTTCAGCAACTATTACTTCAGTCTTCAGTGTCACATGATCCTTCAGAAATCATTCTAATATGCTGATTGATGCCCAAGAAACATTTCATATTATTATCAAAGTTGAAAACAGCTGTGCTGCTTAATATTCTTGTGGAAACCATGATATCTTTTTTCAAGATTCTTTGATGAATAGACAGCATTTATTTGAATGGAAATCTTTTGTAATATTATACATGTTTTACTTAAATATTTTATCAATTTAATGCATCCTTACTAAATAAAAGTATTAATTTCCTAAAAAAAATCTTACTGACCCCAAACTTTTGAAAGGTAGTGCAGGCATAAACCATCCAACTTTAATGGAATGAAGTGAACAAAATCTTGTTAAAGGGATAGTACAACCAAAAATGAAAATCCTGTCATCAATTACATCACCCTCATTTTATTTTCTTCTGTAGAACACAAAAGAATATGTTTAGCATAATGCCCAAACTGCTCTTTTCCATACAGCAACAGCTGACCACAGTCTGACGAACAATTTGCATCCCCCTTTGTGTTTAACGGAAGAAAGTCAAACTGATGAGTGAATGTTAATGTGTCTGGTTGTACTGTGCTGTATAGGTGAACATTTGGGTTCCTCAGCCTGAGCAACAGTCAGATATCATAAAGATCACAGGACAGGTGGCCAATGTGGAGCGGGCCAAACAGGGACTGCTGGAGAGAGTCAAGGAGCTGCAGGCGGAGCAGGAAGATCGGGTACAACCTCTTCTCAACACCGCTCTGCTGACAGAACATGCTGTGACAAAAAAATTTCCATATACAATCTGAGATTTACTTCTTGCAATAGAATATATTCTTTTCTTGTCTATTTGTAGGCCTTACGGAGCTATAAGGTGACGCTCTCAGTAGACCCGAAATATCACCCCAAAATTATAGGCCGTAAAGGAGCCGTCATCTCTCAAATACGCAAAGACTACGATGTCAATGTGCAGTTCCCTGACAAAGGTGAAGAGCAGCAGGTATGAAAGCAGATTGTTTTCGAAAGGGAATTTCCTCATTCTTTAACTCAGACTGGTTAAAGAAGCTCATACCATTCATACCTTTCATACCTGTCATTCATGTTTGTCTCTTTGCCTGTCAGTCTTTCTTTCTTCACGCGACTCTGTCTTCCTCTAGGATGTAATTGTAATCTCGGGTTATGAGAGGAATGCTAATGAGGCCAGGGCAGCTATAGTGCAGCTGGTGGCAGCACTGCAGGATATGGTGAGTGAGGACATCCGGCTGGACCGGCGGGTCCACGCACGCATCATCGGAGCACGTGGCAAAGCCATTCGGAAACTCATGGAGGAGTTCAAAGTAAGAACACTTTGCATATTTACCGATAGTGATAAAACTATATCTACATCTAAATTAGTCATAATATTTAACAGAGTAATAATAATGATGATTATTATTATTTATTATTAAATGTATTATTAGAAATTTTGGAGTACATAGTCATAATATTTAACATCATAATCCTAATAATAATACAGTGTTTCCCACAGGATTTTGTTTGACTGTGATGGGCGGTCCTCGATCCCTGTAGGATCGGGGGCCCCCCCGGAAGAAAATTTTGAAAGAGCTCCAACACAGGTTCAGTGTGCAAACTAAAAGAAAAAAGCTTGTGAATGTACTTGTTCTTGAAATTTAAAGGGGACCCAACCCTCTTTTTAGTTGTGATATAGTGTCTCAGTCTCACGGTGTCTCAGTGAATTTGGAAGCCAAACAAACTAGAATATAATAATAATAATTTTATATTATTATTCCTATGACACTAATAGCCATATATTGTAAAACAATTGCACTGTGGTGTCTCAGTGAATTTGGAAGCCAAACAAACTAGAATATAATAATAATAATTTTATATTATTATTCCTATGACACTAATAGCCATATATTGTAAAACAATTGCACTGTGAAATAAATTAAAAAAAATTTTTTTTTTTCAGGTATATTATTTTACCTTACTCTACAGTAGGGAAATTTCAATACTTTTGTCCTAGTTTCTATACTTGCAAGCAGGGCCTAAAACTAACTTTCTCATCTGCCAGTGGCTGGTGACTTGAGAAAATTTACCGGCCATAAATATTTTTCCTTGCCATGAAAGTGAAACTGAAAAGGGCAGTTGCTACTACTACAACAACTAAACATATTTAATAAAAAAAAAAGCCATTTGAAATTAGAACCACTGCATTTTAATCACGATACAAAGATAAAACCTGCATGAAACAAAAACAGACAGGCTGAATGAGAACGCAAATTCACTCTCTGACAGCAGGTGGCGCTTATGGATCAGCAGTGATAAGAGGGGGAAAAATGCCATCAAAACTTGTGAAGTCAGTTCCCTTCAAAAATACATTCATATAAACCCCCACCCCAATATTTATATTTTTCTTCCAAACAGTGAGCTTGCTGTACCTGTACAGTATTTTCTCTGTGCTCGTCTGTTAATTTTAGGCAATGCTTGCAAGTGATAAACCCTTGAGCTTTTATTTTGGCAGAAACTTCAGTTAAGCTTTTATTTTGGCGGAAAACTTCAGCTTCTGTGAAAACAGGTTTACAAACATTACTAATTTAATGAAATACTGTAAATATTTGTCCATTAAAATGTTGAAAATTATGCAAATGTGCAAATTATGCATAACTGGTGGCCGTTGCGTTCCCAAACGCGCGCTAAACTCACAGCACATTCAATACCGGCGTTCACTGCATTCACTGTGAACTGAGCCACTCTGAGACACGGAAAACACTTGTGATGGGAAGTCCAGTTCTTTTCCGCGAACCGGTTAAAAAAAACAGTTCATCGGTTCTTTTACGCCCTAACGTAGTAGTAATGATATCAAGTCTATCGTCCCGGGCCGCGATGAAAATACACATTCAAATATATAAAGTCAGTAATCATAACTAGAGCCTGACTGATATGGGTTTTTTGGGGCCGATACCGATATTTGGGAGTAAAAAAAAAGGCAGATATCGATATATCGGCCGATATTCTTTGTGTATATTATAGTACAGTACCAGTCAAAAGTTTGGACACTTTCCCATTCGTGTGTCCAAACATTTGACTGGTACTATATATAGAATACAGTATATACATAAACAGAATATATATACATAAACACATTTTTTGCAATGATCACTCAAATGTGGTGATCAAACACTTATAATGACATGACAAAGATATGTAATGATGGCGGCAGGGCATTTAACAATTTAACAAACTTTATTCAAAATGAGTCTGACATCAGTGCACTGAACAGTAAAGTTGAAGTTTATTCAACTTTAATTCAATTAAATTCCATTCAACTTTATTCCGTTGAAGTTTATTTCACTTCGGAACATTCATTCACGGATTTGCGCCACTGTCTTCACACACACAGACGAAACTTA